AGATTTACCATCACGGCCTAAGTAGCTATGTCAACAAGCTGTAGTTGCCGCTTTAAACCACCGAACATTAAACCCTTGACATGGAGTAAACACAGGGTTAAAATGGCTGGCACTTTGATTTAAACATATTTTATTTACCCAAAGTGAAAAGCATTGGGTACAATTTATCAACTTAGGATGCAAGCTACTATATTATTACACAATGCAAATACATACGACTCAATTGTTAATAAGGATATGTCATTCTATTTATACATATAACATATGTCATATTTGGGATTATACTTTCTCAGTAAGGTACAGATTCTAGTACTTTTGTTGGGTTGAGTCCCATCTGGGATTTGAACCCATGCCCTCAGAGTCAGCCATGTAATCGCCAGCACACAAAGTCAGCCGCCTAACCAACTCAGCCACCGTGGCTTCCACAGCTCTGAGTTTGTGGGTTCGAATCCCGGATGGGACTAAACCCAACAAGAGTACTAGAATCTGTACTTTACTATGAAAGTGTAATTCCAAATATAACATTTGTTGCATTTGAACACTTTCTAAATGGCATTGTGCGTATTCATATTATACATTATTATATAAGACTTGACATCTAATAGGAATAAGTTTTGTGAATCATGGAAAGATATCAAATTATCCCAATGAAAAATGGAGTGTATATTATAAATTACAATAATACAATGGCTAATTTGTGCAAAACTCCCCAACTTAAATAGGAATTTAATATATTTCATCATTATTTACACATATATCTAATTACTGAGTGTAGTGAATCATGACATAATATGCATTCAATGAGATAAGCGTCAGTAGAGATACTGTAAGGAACTGACATCACTCTAGTGAATCATAATTATAGATAATCTGTAAGGAACTAAATAACAATAATATGATAATAATTGTAATAACAACACCAACTAGAATGATGATAATATCATTTGTTAGGTGCTATCATCCATCATTGATGTGGCTGCTCAAGGTATACATGATTAATCTGATCAGGTTGGAATCAAGATGTATACATGAAAATGATGAGTTTCAAACTTAAACATGAACACGAAAGTGAAGGAAAGATCATGTCTTGAATGGGACAGTTCCTCAGAGACAGACCACAGTATGCAGTGAGTGAGTGAGTTTAGTTTTACTTTGCACTCAGCAATAATCCAGCTATATGGCAGCTGGTCTGTAAATAATCGAGTCTGGACCAGACAATCCAGTGATCAACAGTATGAGCATCAATCTACACAATTGGGAACCGATGACATGTGTCAACCAAGTCAGCGAGTCTGACAACCCGATCCCGTTAGTCGCCTCTTACGACAAGCATGGGTTACTGAAGACCAATTCTAACCCGGATCTTTACGGGTCTCCACAGTATGTGAAAGATGTATCCATAATTCTTGACACTGACACTTGGAACAGACATAGAAAGAATATCCATGGATTGCAGATTTAGGTTTGGGTGGTACATCTCCACCATCTCCAGCAAGTAATCAACATAATGACAATGTTCACCACTCTAGATGCTAGTCACAACTCTTCGGCGTCAAACTTGGTCAAGCTGATTACTTCTATAGTGGTATACACCAATTACACCTCTTGCTGGGACGTCACCACCATGATGTGGGGTATATCAATAATTCAATAGTTCTATTCAAGAGAGTTCTCAGTAAATGCCAAAATAATTCAGTTATTGTCTCACATGAGACCCCATATCACTCCTGGTCTCAATCATACAGCTTGGTATGCTTTTGTTAAGTTCAAAAAAAAATTTCTTTTGGGTTATAAATTAATTTCACATTTTGCCCTTACAATTTAAACATTGGCACATCATACATTTTTATGCTCTGTTGTATGCAAAAATAATAAATTGTTTGTATCAGTTACTAACTTATATCAAACATTTAAATGACATTATGATTATTATTCCTAAATAAACAGTATCATGATTAAAATATGTGATTATTATGCATGGGCTCAGGAATTTCATGAATTCATCAGTGAGGGCACAGGTCAGCGAACGCTCCGATGTAAACATTAGACTTTGTTCTGGAGTGACAGATCATTGAACTGGGACAACAATGTCAGCAATGTCAACGTTGTCACTGGTGTAAGTGATCCTCCCTCCACCATGGGCACTGACAGAGACATCGCCCGCTTGAAGGTAGAGACAGAGGGGCTGCTGAGGGGTGATGGGAGGTGGGGTGGGGAGAGAGTGATGGGGACACATCTCCCACTTGAAGGTAGAGACAGGAAGGGGCTGCTGAGGGGTGATGGGAGGTGGGGTGGGAGAGAGTGATGGGGACACATCTCCCACTTGAAGGTAGAGACAGAGGGGCTGCTGAGGGGTGATGGGAGGTGGGGTGGGGAGAGAGTGATGGGGACACATCTCCCACTTGAAGGTAGAGACAGGAGGGCTGCTGAGGGGGTGAGGTGGGGTGGGGAGAAAGTGATGGTGACACATCTCCCACTTGAAGGTAGAGACAGAGGGGCTGCTGAGGGGTGATGGGAGGTGGGTGGGAGAGAGTGATGGGGACACATCTCCCACTTGAAGGTAGAGACAGGAGGGCTGCTGAGGGGTGATGGGTGGGGGAGAAGTGATGGTGACACATCTCCCACTTGAAGGTAGAGACAGAGGGGCTGCTGGGGCTGCTGGGGGGTGGGGGTGGGGGGGGAGAGTGATGATGACACATCTCCCACTTGAAGGTAGAGACAGAGAGGCTGCTGAGGGGTGATGGGTGGGGGTGGGGGAGAGTGATGGTGACACATCTCCCACTTGAAGAAGGTAGAGACAGAGGGGCTGCTGAGGGGTGATGGGAGGTGGGGTGGAGAGAGAGTGATGGGGACATCTCCCACTTGAAGGTAGAGACAGGAGGGCTGCTGAGGGGTGATGGGAGGTGGGGTGGGGAGAGAGTGATGGGGACACATCTCCCACTTGAAGGTAGAGACAGAGGGGCTGCTGAGGGGTGATGGGAGGTGGGGTGGGGAGAGAGTGATGGGGACACATCTCCCACTTGAAGGTAGAGACAGAGGGGCTGCTGAGGGTGATGGGTGGGGGTGAGAGAGAGTGATGGTGACACATCTCCCACTGAAGGAAGGTAGAGACAGAGGGGCTGCTGTGGGGTGATGGGAGGTGGGGTGGGGAGAGAGTGATGGTGACACATCTCCCACTTGAAGGTAGAGACAGAGGGGCTGCTGAGGGGGTGATGGGAGGTGGGGTGGGGAGAGAAGTGATGGTGACACATCTCCCACTTGAAGGTAGAGACAGGGGCTGCTGAGGGTGATGATGGGAGGGGGGGAGAGAGTGATGGTGACACATCTCCCACTTGAAGGTAGAGACAGGGGGGCTGCTGAGGGGTGATGGGAGGTGGGGTGGGGAGAGAGTGATGGTGACACATCTCCCACTTGAAGGTAGAGACAGAGGGGCTGCTGAGGGGTGATGGGAGGTGGGGTGGGGAGAGAGTGATGGTGACACATCTCCCACTTGAAGGTAGAGACAGAGGGGCTGCTGAGGGGTGATGGGAGGTGGGGTGGGGAGAGAGTGATGGTGACACATCTCCCACTTGAAGGTAGAGACAGAGGGCTGCTGAGGGGTGATGGGAGGTGGGGTGGGGAGAGAGTGATGGGGACACATCTCCCACTTGAAGGTAGAGACAGAGAGGCTGCTGAGGGTGATGGGTGGGGGGGGGGGGGAGAGAGTGATGGTGACACATCTCCCACTTGAAGGTAGAGACAGAGGGGCTGCTGAGGGGTGATGGGAGGTGGGGTGGGGAGAGAGTGATGGGGACACATCTCCCACTTGAAGGTAGAGACAGAGGGGCTGCTGAGGGGTGATGGGAGGGGGGTGGGAGAGAGTGATGGGGACACATCTCCCACTTGAAGGTAGAGACAGGAGGGCTGCTGAGGGGTGATGGGTGGGAAAGTGATGGTGACACATCTCCCACTTGAAGGTAGAGACAGAGGGGCTGCTGAGGGGTGATGGGAGGTGGGGTGGGGAGAGAGTGATGGGGACACATCTCCCACTTGAAGGTAGAGACAGGAGGGCTGCTGAGGGGTGATGGGTGGGAAAGTGATGGTGACACATCTCCCACTTGAAGGTAGAGACAGAGGGCTGCTGGGGCCTGCTGGGGCTGATGGGGGTGGGGGTGGGGGGAGAGTGATGGTGACACATCTCCCACTTAAAGGTGGAGGGGGGCCCCTGGGGGTGATGGTGACACATTTCCCACTCTGGAAGGTGGAGACAGAGGGACTGGTGAGGGGTGATGGGTGGGGGTGGGGAGTGATGGTGACACATCTCCCACTTGAAGGTAGGAGACAGAGGGGCTGATGAGGGGTGATGGGTGGGGGTTGGGTAGGATGGGGAGGCAGCGACACCAGGGTGGGGTAAAACACTGATAGGCACACATCTCACTTAAAGGTAGGCGATAGAGAGGGGGGTGAGAGGCAGCAAGATGAAGGGTCGGGGGGCCAAGGGAGCAAGTGTGTAAGTTCGCAGGCACATCAGGGTGGGGACGACACCGATGGGGTCACATCTCCCACTTGAAGGTTAGGGCCATAGAGAGGTGGGTGAGGTTCATTTGAATTGGGGTTGAAGGGTACAGGGTTAGGGACACATTTTGGGGATAGATGGGTGGGGAATACTTGGATGGGGTTAAAGACGTAGATGGGTGGGTACACTTGCATGGAGGATAGAGGGTTGGGTGAGTCACCTCTGAATTTGGGACAGGGGGGTGGACTGTGATAAAAAAGGTTGCTGTGTTCTTACTGGAAGCTTTTTCGACATGCATTATTTTGTAAATATATTTCAAGTCCTCATAAAAGATTATTCTAAAACCACTTTTTATTGTTTTCCTCTCTCCCTCAGGTAAGCCAGTAATCCAAGTGGACTGTTTGGGAAATGTATGCATTATTTTCAACTCACACCTGTATTTGAGAATAAAAAAATTCTGAGAAATAAGAACTCTGAAATATAAACAAAATAGGACTAGTCCTACCTTCTTGTACTGCGCATGCATGCTGGATGGATCATCAAGCACCTCCATACTCTTTGTGGCGTTCTTTCTGTCCTGTAAGACAACAAGAGTTATGCCCCTTTAATAACAGCACCACACACTGAGTGAAGTGACATAAAATATAACTATCTACATCAGTAAACTGACCACATACATCAGGCTGACCAGGGTGGGTAGAGTTTACCCTTCTGTCTTTCAGTTAGCTGAATGCCCTAATTAGTGGAAGCAGTATTACTTTGCTAGGTATTTGAATTAACTTGAAAAAATGACCAGTCTGGATACAAACTTGCCTGTCCGGTTTTCAACAATGAAAAAAATAATAATAAAAATCAGGTTTCTTAATACTTTACTGTTTGTAGGCATCGCAATGAAGAACATAGCACTAACAGGCAATGCAGAGAGTGTAGGTAAACTGAAAGTGCGTGTGTTGTGATTGGTTATTGTAAAATGAACTGTCCAATCGTAAATAGTTTAACACAATCATCATAATACCTTAAACACCTCAAAACTGACGACCAGAGAACCTGTCTGATATTAGGAAATATTTACTGTTAGGAGTAAAAACTATCTACCAGACCACCGGACAGGCTACTTTTGAAATTTGACCGTCCGAGATGAAAATAGACCGTTCCGGACGGTCGGGCAGGTGGGAATTTTAAACGCTGAAATAAGACAATCTGCCTTAAAAATATAAAGTAAAAAATATAAAGACACTTTTCCCAGAATGTTATCAATGACATACAAATGAAAATCTTAGCACTGTGAGTGTTACACCACACCAATAGTTTGCAGAATAGTACCTATTAATACCATTAGTGGATGGAAAATTCAAACAAATAACAGATATCATGAGTTGATATAATGTCACATAAATTGCAAATGCTGAAATATATATATCCTTCCACAAACATTTGCATTTATCAAGGATGTTGTATGTACAAGTCTGCCACACCTGTTTCAAAATCGTATCTAAATTTGTACACTGCTTCTGGCACTGCACAACACATAAAAGCTGGAACAATTTCTCAGGGAACGGAAAAAATCCTCCAGGACAGAATTCCCCAGGATAAAAGTCCCAAGGTCTTAATGGAAAATGGGACGGAATTCCCCATTATTTTCTCTAATGGGACTGAATTGTTTTCAGTGATCATATTTGAACACAGACTATCCATTTGGTTTATGATACAGATTGACTTTGTTTACATAACTGGAGTGAGTGAGTGACTGGATTTTGATGACTGTATATATGACTGAAACTGGCCTTTGCTCTGATTTTCTTGTAAAAAAATCTTCCTGGCTTAAACTTGGAGAAGGGAGTCAGGTCGTTATGTGTGGGTTAGCTACATCACCACAAACATGTTGCAGTAAGTTGTCAGACAATCAGCATCAGGACAAAGTCAGCTGATAACACAAACAGCAGAACATAGTCAGCTGACAACACAAACAACAGCAGAATATAGTCAGCTGATAACACAACCAACAGCAGAATATAGTCAGCTGATAACACAACCAACAGCAGAATATAGTCAGCTGATAACACAAACAGCAGCAGGACAAAGTCAGCTGATAACACAAACAGCAGAACATAGTCACCTGATAACACAAACAACAGCAGAACAAAGTCAGCTGATAACACAAACAGCAGAACATAGTCAGCTGATAACACAACCAACAGCAGAATATAGTCAGCTGATAACACAACCAACAGCAGAACATAGTCAGCTGATAACACAACCAACAGCAGAATATAGTCAGCTGATAACACAACCAACAGCAGAACATAGTCAGCTGATAACACAAACAGCAGAATATAGTTAGCAGAATATAGTCAGCTGGTAACACAAAACAACAGCAGAATATAGTCAGTGGTAACACAAACAACAGCAGATATATAGTCAGGAAACAAAACAAAACAACCCAACAGAATATAGTCAGCTGATAACAAAACAACAACAGAGCTTGACACATATATAGAAAGAAGTGACAGCTGACAACACAAACAATGTACTCAGAGCATTAACCAGAATATAGTCAGCTGGTAACAAAAACAACCAGAATATTGTACAGAAATTGATTAACAAAAAAACAACAATCATATATAGAAAGAAGTGACATGTACTCAGAGCATTAACCTTGTCCTACAATTGATTCCAATCAATATAACATGTGTCACCTATCTCTTGCCATGAGATGCCACTGATAACCATCTCACAGAGACCAGGGAGACAGCTTGCTGTACCACCTGGGTGACATCCCAGCTCCCTACCTCACCTCTGTGTCAAAGTTTTTAATGAGCTCTTTGCAGGAACTGTGTATTGCTGCCTTCTGATTGGTTAAACAAATTGTTATGACCAGGGTGTTGTTTTGTTTTAGTGTGTCTATCCTTTAAAATATGCAGGCTGTAAAGTTATTATTGTTGATGTATTTTGTTATCAAAATTGAATAAATTGTATAAATGGTATGAATCATTGTATAAATTCATGTACTATATGCCTAAATGTGAAACAGATTGCATCAGTGGTCTGGATTGCCGAGTGCCTGCCCAGTGAGTGGAAGGTTGGTGGTTCATATCATGTTGGACAGGACACAGGAGCTGCAGTATTTATTATATACAGAAAGCATTTTCTGTTCAGTGCTTCCAAGCGAAAAACAAAGAACATATAAGCTAAAAGAAATATTTATTCCCAAAGCACATTTGTTTACAGGAGTTTTGTGAAAACTCAGTCTATTTTGGGGTACAAAGATGTTCTTAAAAAGAATTTGGATGTTTAAAAATTGTCACCCCAAATTGGAAACAGATTCACCAAGGTAAATCAAGGGATATTGAATAATCTACGTGACTTGTTATTCCAACAATATTACCTCTTCATCTTGAATATCGGTTGTCAGTTAGTAAAATATATTAAATAGCAATTAATGGAACCTTGTATATTAGTATACTGATTTAAAACATAAAGATTAATTAATTCTAACACAGAGTATTATAAGTACAATTTTACTTTCGCCTTTAGCAATATTCCAGCAACATCACAGTGGTACACACCAGAAATGGGCTTCACACATTGTACCCATGTGGGGAATTGAACCAGGGTCTTTGGCGTGATGAGCAAACGCTTTAACCACTAGGCTACCCTACCGTTTCCCCCATTGGCCTGAGACTCACACGGATCATAAATCACATGGACAGTGTGGTAATATAAGTTTGAACAACATTATGACATCAGGCCATTACGATACAACTCAAAAAGTGAACTGCTGCTTTATTGCAGATACACGCTGGTGGCGCCTTTCATCTTCTACCGAAGCATCTTAGAATAATCGATACGTTGGTTTGGAGGCTGCATATATACATCTGTAAGTCATGTCTGGATATTCATACCCTTGCTCACATCCTGATGGTCGGTGAAGAAATAATTTTGTAATATACATACAAAAATATATGGAAGTTATCTCTATATTCCACAGTATTCCACAGGGATCTTGTAAAACTGTGCGATCAAATGTAAAAACACCAGTTTCACAAGTTACGATGTTTGTGATTATCTATGTGTAACTTGATTCATGTCATCTTGGATAACATTGACGATATCTCAGTGGGTGATGACTTTTACATTTCCATGGCATCCAAAGTGACAGTTAGCAGTCAATGTTGTGTAAATGTTGTTTTTCTGACATGTTCATCATACTTAATACTAAAGATTCTGGGTCCTGATCCACAAAATGTTCGTAGTATACGACATTCGTAAGCATGTGATAAAATATAGAGTCACGACAGGTCGTGTGGATCAAAATCCTGATCTTCATCCTCCCATGTTGAAGACATGTTTTTTCTTACTCTGTGAGATTTATAAAAAATATTTTTTATATTTTTATATTGGTACATGGACTCCAGTGGGATGGTCTAAAAGACCCTTCTGTATTTTCAAATCAAGAAATGTACAATCAATGGCTACAACATGCAGAGTTGCAGTATGACAATCTAGGAGAATGTATTTAAAATTTGTGGTAAAAAAGATGACTTAAAGTTTGGTGGTTTTAATGTCATATTGGACATCACAGTAGGGTTGTGCAGTATACATATCTTGCAAGGCTTGCTTTGATTTCCTTATTTGTGTCCACTTTATTTCGATTAATGAAGCACATAGCCTCTCCCAGCTCCTCCCCAATAAATGACCACTCCCTAATTGTGCTCAAATCTCAAGGTAATCTGGCTCTACACTGCAAGCACAAGTTTATTTTCTAATTTAATAAATATTTCAAGTTCCACTAACTTCCTGCTAACACCTGATTTAAAATCATGACTGATAGATGAATATGAAGAAACTGATAAAATATTGATTCAACTAAATTATTCAATTAAGAAAATGTCTTTGAGTTAATGAGTGCCCAATGTTTGGATAACCTGTTGCCATGGTAGCAAGGCTATGGAGACTTTGTGCTGAGTTTTTACTATTTACAATATCTGGGGCAGACTTGGAAACAGATCTATGGGTTGTAAACATCATCTAGGAAAACGATTGATCTTCCTTTAATAGGATACCGACAAACGCTCAGCTGTGAGCTGTGAATTTCTCATTAATCATGTTCAGTTCTCCTTCATCGGAGTTTGATGAACAATGTACACATTATCCTACATTCTCTGTATTGGCAAAACAGGTGCAAGTACTTTGGTTGCAATTTATCTAAAGATATTGTCCTGGGGCTCTAAGAACATATATGACTTACTACTTACCGTAGATTTATCAAATTACACTACATGTGTAGACAAGTTTAACTATACATAGAATTATTCAGCAAGTCATTAAAGAGGGCTTGTGAATGGATTAGGGATTCAAACTCAGGAGAGTTAGGTGTGATGAGTGAACACCCTGCCTAGCTGGCCACCAAATAATACATGTAGGGTAGAGTTTTAATTACAGTACAACCAGAAATTATCAATTTTTCTGCCAACTCATTGCATGCAGCTCAGTTCTAATTGTCTCCTTACAGACAGCCACAGTTCCTCTATCAATCATATCTAGCCTTAAGTTTTCTAAACTCTTTCGTTTGTTTTT